TGGTCCTGGGGTGGCATTTGGCCGGGAAACCCACTCCAAAATTTTGGCGCCAGAGCTTGCTTGGGTGCCGATTGAAATATCCGGACAGACACACACATACACATACACACACCGGGGTCGTCACAATATGTGTTTTTGCATATTATGCAAAAACGCATAAAAATGGAACAGCTGCACAGGGGGTAGACGCATACTCCCGAGGTTTCAGCTTCCTAGCTTTTCTGGTTCTCGAATTAAAAGTGGACGAAGAAGAACGGCGGGTGCACACGCGCATAGGCAGGTTCTTGCCAGTGTGCGCTTTTGCCTACTGTAGCAGCGCTACAGCCCCCGTGCACGGCAAAAATCCACAACAATGGCATTTTGATGGAGTTGCTAATTGTTGCGCTCTTGGAGTACAACTGGGTCGAAAAATATATACTTAAACATATTGTTCGGATCGAATTACTATTGTAGAACAAGTGTCTGCTTACAACGATGGACAGATATTAGCAGTTCATGACGCACGCACAATGGTGTGACAAATATTAGCAATTTGCGATGTACAAGGAAATATCAATAATGTGTTGAAGTTACTAGAGCAAATAGCGATATAATAACCGGACGGGGATGAAGAATACAGCTGAAAAGCATTAGGGATGAGATCCTGGAGGATTAGAGGATAAAATCCCCCAAAATTTGCTGCAGATTGATTTGGTACACCTCGGATGCCAAACACGCATCTCGGGAAGGGAAAGTTGAAAAAAAAACTGAAGTTTCATTGAAGTCGAATATCCTGAGGGTTCGTCGAGCTGTGTGTATTGCAGCAACGATTGCTAGCAGTAGTAGTGGACGAACGGATGCTCTGTGGCGCTGTGCCAGTGAACACACAGTGCATAAACAAGGCATCAGCCCTGCGAGCGACTTAAATAACAAGAACTGAATTGGATTGTTGAAGGAACTTCAGGAGATCCCCTCAAAGAGGCCAGTCACAGACGATTGGGCGCACTACAATCTCGGATCGAACGTGGATGACAAGGAGAGCGACCCGATGTCCACGTGGACAAGCCAATACATGTGCTTGGAAAAACACCGGCATACCAATTCCTCGTCCCCATCAGAGACGGAGCCGAGCCATCTGCCCAACTCCGTTATTTGTTGCTGAAATGCGCTTGTTATTGTTGATTAGGCGTTGTCCCCATCAACAAGGAATCCCGCCACTTTTGCAGAACAAAGCCTGCACCTCA